ACTTCATTCACACCCATAAAGGCTACCTTTGTTTGACCAGACTATATTAGAGCTATTAGTAGAAACTCATCAGATCTCAGTTAAAGGTTAATCTCGGTTCAGGATAAGAAGTTTGACGTTTTCAGTTAAAGACTACAGAAGGCTTAGTGGAAAATTGGAGACACTAGATAGTGATCAGTGGACACAACACTTTGTGCCTGAGAATGTCAGTGATTGAAAAGTGTAGCAAAATCAAGTTGATGACCTGGAAACTAAGATAGGATTAAGAAATGTCACATTGGTAGGGGGTCCTAGAGGTAGAGAGACAAAAAGAAACAGAATTTTTCATTTTTCTCTCTTCTAATAGCTTACAAAGGTATAGAATTTAATAATTTTGAACTCTTCTTATGTGCTGTTGTAGATTGCATTTCTGCAAAAGTCCATCATCCCCAAACCCTCGAAATATGCAGCTCTGGAAACCAGTAACAAAACTGGACAATTTTGTTTCTAATGTGCCTTGATTTGATTTTTAGGGGTAAAATCACACCTTTTTTTATTGGCTGTCTTGGGTATCTAAAGACAGCTGTACCTGCTGAAGAGAGCCAGCAAATTAGAACCACTTGCCTCAAGAGGCAGATGGTCTCCATAGAAGTCTGATTTCATTTACTGTCCCTTCTGAAGCTGAATGAAGGTGGTTGAATTTGAAGGTAGAGTTAAACTGAAATTGTGGAAATACTTGGATACATACATAAGGGCCTTTAATCTGTTTTAATGTAGAATTTGATTTGCCTTTTTAAAAAAGTACTTTCAGACATATATAGAATTTTTTTAAAAATCTGTCTTGAACAAATTTTCTAGGAAAAAATTTAAAAGATTATTTTATTTGATGGTGTAATGATTAATCCTACCACCTGGGTAAGCCAAGTGAGCTTCCCATAGGAGATTGTTTCTGCAGCTTTGAATTATGTATGAATATTGCAGACTGATGAGATAGATATAACCTTCCAAGGGATTCATTTATATAACAGACAAATCTGTAACAGTGTTATTATTTCCTTTGAACACCTACATGTTCAGAAAATGAATTGTCTTTGTGGTGCTGATGGCATGGTTTCCTAAGAATCAGGTCAGACCATAAACCTGACCAAATCTCAATTAAAAACTAGTCATTAATAAAAAAATTGTTGAAAAATTTAAAGTGCAGTCAAATATATGTTGTCCTTCTTTTATGACAGCAGAAGGAATGCTGAGGGTTCAGAACAAAGAGTAGGGTAACTCAGGATTTGACCCAACCTGAAGATCAGGGACCCAGATACCTGTTATGGACTTTCTACATCATATTACGAGTCTAGGGATTGTTTCGATGTGAATTTAAAAATAGCAGAAATATAAAAGGCATAACTTCCTCTTTGTAAGCCATTTATTACTTTATATTCTGTTTTATAATAACGAAAATGAAATTCATTGAATAAACTGGAAAAAAACAGTCTAGATACCCTGGTCATTGTTTATGATTTCAAGATGTGATAACATATAGTATATAAGAAGTTTTCACGTATTTCATGTAATTTTTATTTTAAAGAATTTGTTACCATCTATCTCATGGGCGAAATGGGAGACATTTTCATTTTCTCTGTTAACTTCCTCCTGATGCTGCCATCAAGTGTGTTCAGAAGATCAAAGTAATAGGGAAACAATCTAGGTTCTGATTCCCATCTTAGTGTTTTTTGTGTCACAGTAAACATTTCCAAATGGTGGTGAATCTCTTTGTTAGGAAATAAACACTGTATTTATAAAATGTCATTTTAGTATTTGGGAGGGTTTTCTGATTTAATGTCTAATATGAAACAAGTCAATGGTCAAAAATTAAATTCCCTTATTAAATTAATGCACCTAATGATAAACTAATCATAAGATTTTCCTTTCTTTTTTCTTCTTGAATGATTTGTATGTGTTGTTTATGCATAGTGAGAGAGTCAATCCTCTCCGATGCTTTTTCTCAATTCTTTATTTTTTGGTCAAAGCATGTTACCATATCTAAGCTTGAACTCTCAGAGCTTCTCTTTTTCTCTCTCTCTCTTTCGCCATTTTAATCATACAAAGAGATGTTCTTCCCTCAAGTAATAAAACATGACATATCATTGATGCATTTTAAAAATCCTTACTCTTTTTAGAGGCTGCTATCACATTAAAAGCAGATTAAATATTTTAGTATTATTTATAAATACATATGATTTTACTTTACCAACTCTATTTGTATAATTCTTTATATTTGACAATTATTTTAATTGGTGATTTAATGTACCAGTATACTTATTTAAAATGTGCTTATGAAAATGGATCTTCATCTGGAATATAGGTTGTGCTGCCTTGGTCCTCAAGGAGTTAATTAAACTAGCTTTCACTTTGCATAGCTCCCCAAAGATAATCTGGCATATTTCCCAGACCAAACCCCTAAAGTAAAGGTCAAGATACAGTGGATGATATTAAGGTACATAATTCAAGTCTCTTCTCATGGTTTGCCCAACTTGTAGCTCTCCAGAACTCATTGGAATCTGTGGTTTATCAGAGTTTCAGGACATAATTAACAACTCAAGAAGGCCCTGTGAAAGTCTCCTTTAATGGGGAATTGTGTTAGTGAGTACCGTGGGTGAGTCTTTAATATTTCTTGGTTTTTAGCATTCCATATTTTGTTTTGTGAAGCCCTTCAGAGGACAGAGCTGTGTTATATGTATGTGTGTGGAACAGGCCCTTAGAATTACTCACAGGTTCGTAGCAGCTGTTCTTTCTCTGGTTTCCACAATAGCTGAGGTTTATTGTAAATAGCCCATTGCCTGGGAGGAAAACAGACATGTGTTGGTGGAATCATGACTTCCTTTGCCACCTCTTTTGGACAAATAGGAAGGAGAGCTTTGTTTTATTATAGTAATATACAGGAGATAGAGAGGAAAAAGAAAAAAGGCAAGAGTTGAGGTTGCAGAGATGAGTAGCCCAGAAATAATTTTTTAGAAAACCTCTAAAACTGACTTTAGAATAAGAAATGTCTGGAGCTTTATGATTTTTCTCTCTTGGGTCTTTTGGGGGCTGATATTTTAAAATCACTTTATACTTATTGCTTTGAAATTAGATATGGTTAAATTAACTTTTTCCCAGAAAAGAACATTTTCCTAAATCATGCTGATAACTGCTCAGTGATACACAAATCTAAAGCAAACATTACATGATATCTGAGAGTGTGTTTTTGCTTGTGCATGGAAGTAGGCCCTCTTGTTACCTTGATTTTATGATGCTACATGTTATGAGAAACCAGCTTTGTATGGAGTTTCTCTTTGGGGTTGATGACCAACAGCAGCCCATTGAGAAGAGACAGCATACTTTCCTATATGAGACCTCCCTCACATAGACTACCTTCTTGACTGCTAAAGGAGTGATTCCTCCCCACCTCACCACTGTCCCTAAATGCCAGATCCCCTAATGGAACTTCTAGCTCATTGCTCATTGCCAGTATAGAGAGAATGCTCTCTGGTTCTGACAACTTTGAAAGAATATTTTTGAAGTTGTATATCCAACAGACATCAAAGCTTATTTTTCTATCCAGGCACATACACAATTTCCATAATGAAAGATTGATAAGAAGGCACTTCTTCCCCTTCAGATGTGTTCTCTTAAATCCACAGATAATGTATGTTCTGATGATACACCATCAAACAAAGTATCTCTTTTAAAGAAACTTATGTCATCATGACTCACTGCCAATTGAAAATCAGAAGTAACGTGTAATGGTATACAAATGTTTCCTTTCCTTCTTTCTTTTTTTCATAAAGAAACCAGGAAGAAGAGCTGATGGGTTAGGTAGTAGTGTAGAAACACTTTTTAGTAGACCTAGAAACCTTTAAAGATGCCATATTTTAAATCTATTTCATTGACCAGCCCACTGAGATTTTTCTAACTAGGCCAGTTTCTCCACCAGCATTTAATAAGCGTTCCGTCCCTTTGTGCTTTATAGCAATGGGCACAGTTCAGACAGGTTGAGGAGTGGAGAAGATGGGCAAAGGTAGTTATAAATAAGTAAGATTGGCTCGGTGCCTGTGGCTCAGGTGGCTAAGGCGCCAGCCACATACACCTAAGGTGGCGGGTTCGAATCCAGCCCGGACCCACCAAACAACAATGATAGCTGCAACCAAAAAATAGCCGGGCGTTGTGGGGGGCGCCTGTGGTCCCAGCTACTTGGGAGGCTGAGGCAGGAGACTCGCTTGAGCCCAGGAATTGGAGGTTGCTGTGAGCTGTGAAGCCACAGCACTCTACCCAGGGGGACAGCTTGAGGCTCTGTCTCAAAAAAAAAAAAATAAGTAAGATTGATCCTATACTGATATGTGGTCAGCAGGATGCTTCAGACTGATTTCAATAGATCAAATTAATTAGGAACTTTCTGTGCATAGGCAAAGGTCACTGCTTCTGTTCTTCTGGCAACAAGACCTTTCAAGCCTCAGTTTACCTATTAAAAGAGTTGTTTAACTTCTGTGTTTAGTCTAATCTCAACGTTATTTTTGATCCTTTACTAAATACTTCAGTGAACTCTCTAATATTTTCTAAGTACTTCATACTAAATAAATACTATATAGTAAAGTATTCAGTATAGTATTAGAGTACAGTACTGTATCATAGTAAATGTGCTAAATACTTGAGTATATTTACCTTTAATCACTTAAGCATTCAGTTCCCCTACTGCCATCATCATCACCTAAGAATATTGTTTCACTTCTTGCCTGTTATTCTCAAGCCTACCATACCTCCTTTACCAAATTGGATTTTCAGTATATATGAGTCAAGGTAAATAGAAAGAAGTACCAGCCTGGGTGAAGTACTGCCTTGTGTTTAGACAAGTATGTTGGGGCTTATGACCCATTACTGTGATTATAGGACCAGTTATTTACATTTATAGGAAGTATATGCCTTCTGTGAATCTAAATTTTAGCAGAACCTTTGAATGCCTATGTGACAAGTGATCTGATTTGTTTCAGTCGCGTGACTCATGAAGTGACAGAGGATTTTTCTCCTCGAGATCCAAAATCTGTTGTGAAACAAGATGGTGGGGGCTGCCCCTCAATCACACCAGCATTGCCCCTGCCCGAACTGGAAAGGGAAGAGGAAAAAGAAGACAACATTTCAGATCCTCTGGACCTGAACCCCTGTAGTGCAACATACAGCAACCTAGGTAAGTACAAATGTCAAATAAATAGCATTTAAGCTTTACCTTTTTATGTACTATCCAAATGTTTTATTTTCCTGGAGAAATGGTTTTTATTGCTCCATCAAGCAAAACTTCAGCTGCTGGAGTTAAACATTTCCTTTAAAAAAAAAAAAAAAAGACTGAATCTTGCTTGCTCTGTTGCTAGAGCTTGAGTGCAATGGCCGATCATCATCACTCACTACAACCTCAAACTCCTGGGCTCAAGCAAGCCTCCTGCCTCAGCCTCCCGAGTAGTTGGGATTACAGGTGTACACCACTGCACCTAGGTAATTTTTTAAATTTTTGTAGAGAATGTTACTCAGGCTGGTCTCTCAAACTCCTAGGCTCAAGCAGTCCTCCATATCAGCTTCCTAAAGTGCTAAGATTATAGGCATGAGCCACCGCGCTTGGCCTGGAGTTACAAATTTTAACTCACATAAGAAAAAAGTTCTGATGTTTATCAGGCATGTATTAAATACTTACTACTATGAGCCCTTGCCATGTGTTAAGAGTGCTCACATGGTCCCTGCCTTAAAGGACTCACTTGGGGAGAAAGAGGTAAGCTTGTTAATGATTTCAGTATAATATGATAAATGCAGGGATTGAAACATACCTGGAATAGTCTTGATGTTACGTGGGGGGAGGGTGTAAAAAGATGCATTCCTGGAGATAATTTCTGAACTGATTTATCTGGTCGACAGAGGGAAGAAAGAGTATTCAAATCAGAGGCAATGATATGAGCAAAAGTGAAATAGCCTGGTACATGTGGGTACTATAAGTGTTTAATGTTGCCTATCTGTGGAGAGTTAGCCAATATCATGTATTTTGTGCTAAAACCTTAGACCTTTTCCTGTTTGTGGCAGTGAACAATTAAAGAGTTTTAAGCAGAGTATTACCACAACTAGATTTGTGGTGATTTAGAACATCTACTCTGCAAGCTGCCATGTGAGGATGGACTATTTGGTGGCAAGAAATTGGTAAATGGAATACTATTACAGGGCTGCATAAAGGGATGGAAAGGGAAGGCCTCAACTAAAACAATGGGAGAGGGGACCGAAGAGACAGATTTGATAGATATTTAAGAGGGAAGATAAACAAGGTTGGATAATGTGAAGAATCTATGAGTATCCCAGATTTCTAGCTTAAATCAAGCAAAACTGAGGAAGTCAGATCCCTATCTTTGGAAGTATTTAGGCAGAGGTTGACAAGCTCTCTCAGAGATGCTGTGAAGGACAGTGCTGCAGTGCAAATAGTGTTGAGCTGAGTTACCTACCAATGCAAAGATTCTTCAATTCTCTGATCATCTTCACTCCTCTTCCTTGAATACTTCATGACTTCTGATCTGTTTCCCTTCCTTGAGTGTCACACAGTTTCCTTCCTTCAGCAAAGCCAAGCCTGGGGCAGGATAAAGATTTCTCAGAGCTCTTCTCCCATGAAGTCAGGAAAGAGATGAATAAAATGGACTACTATATGCAGAGGCAGGAGCAAGATTCTTATGAACTACTAACCACTCCTTAGACCCTGTTTGGAAATCAGTGGCATATGTCATTGAAGCATTTTTCTACCTAGTTTCTCAACTCCTTTCTTCTTTGTCTTTTTCTTCCATCATGTTATTATAAGGAAAAATCATGCTAAGATCAGCTAGTGTACTTGGGAATGAAAGAGTCCTTAAGAAGGCCAAAAGGTTGAGGTAACATTGTAGGAGAAATACTTTACTGTCTCCTTTCAGAAAATTCAATATAACAACTCACATGCAGTTGAAAATAAATTCTGTAGGGAAAAAGACTTCTGTTTAAAGTTCTAGAAGCCTTACAGGATTCAGGAGTAGAGGAAGCATGCTATGCTTTATCCAAGCAACTATCTTGAATACCATTTTCCAATTGAAGTAGATTTCATATTCAGACAGCTTGTTGGACTTTTTCCATTCTTTTATATTTTATGAAGCACATTAGAAGATTAAAAATTTAGTTTACTTATTGTATTCTTTTAGACAGCATAGTATATTAGGAATTATAATCAGATGTTTTTACTATACCAAAATTTCTTTCATTACATCCTCAGGAAAATATGTAATAATTTTTACTAATTATATAGTATTTTATGACATCTCTTCTTTAAAAATTCTCATTAGCCAAAATTAAAGTTAATTTATCTCTCTTCTCTGTTAGAAGATTGGTAGGAAAAATAAAGCATTGCCTCCATGAATATCCTAAGTGCTTTACATATATATTAGTTCATTTATTCCTTACAACCACCTTAGGAATTATTCCCATTTTTCAGATGAGGAAAGTGAGGCAAAGTACCTTGCCCAAAGTCACAAAATCAGTAAAAATTGAACCAAGATTGGAACCTTGTCAGTCTTAGCCAGTAGGCTAGAATGCTCTTAATCACCAAATTGTTGTAAACTACAGAAAGCCTGCTATTCTTTTTTAGGTCATCTACTTTCAGACACAGAATTTAAGACTTTTAAAAACATTATGGTTACTTAGTGTACAAAAACACTAGGTTATAGATGTCCTATCAGAAAAATAGCTTTTTTTCTACCTACTTGCTTTACATTCAAAGTATGTTATGCCCATAAAATGTTGGCCAGTTTTCCTTAAGTACTTAAGTACCTATGTATTTGACTCCATAGGGTATGATACATGGTTAGTTGCTTTTTTTGGAAAGGTAATAGATAGGGTTGACTTGGTCAGTTATAAGCTGAGGTTTTTTTGTTTTATTCTAATTTTTGTTTTGTGTTGTTGCTAATGGAACAAGGTACCATTTGGTTGGAACTTTCTCTTTTTTTAATACTTTCAATAAAGCATTTGCATGCAGTTTTAAACTACCCTTTGAGTAATTTGTCATAATTTAAATCCTCAGTAACTTTTTTGAAATAGTATGTTTCAAAAGTAAAAAGCAAGAAAAACTTAATGCAATAGCTGTAGTTCCTTTTAAATATTCCAGATCCATTCCATAAAAACCTTCTGCCTGCCTGCCTACTTGCCTACCTGCTGGCTTGCATTCTCTCTCCTTCCTTCCTTCCTTCCTCCCTCCCTCCCTCCCTCCCTTAGTCTCTCCCTCTCTTCCTTCCTTCTAAATAATGCAGAGGATAGATGGACAGATAGGGAAGGAACTAAGGGAAGAAAGTTCAGGGTTACCCTCATTTTTACTATGGAATTTATTTCTGAAACTTGCATTGTAAAGTGAGCCTAGGAAGCTGCGTGATCTAGCAAGGAAAGAGATTGGTGTGGGGAAGCTTGGAAAGATTTTGGCTCATCTCATAGCTGTATCACTGCCCACCTGCAAGATTGTGAACTGGCTACTTAGCGTCTCTGAACTTCAATTTCTACATCTGAAATGAGTAAATAGAGCTGGTGGGAGAAAGGCTTGACCTACTTGTGTGGGCTGTGGGACATAGAAGTGCTTAAGAGTTGTGAAGTGCCTTTATTTCTCCCTGAAAGTATACTCTTCTTTCTCCTTCAAGTATGTTCAATATGCTAACTAGAAAATGTAGAAAAAATGAAAAGGATTAAAAATGTTTTTTAAGTGTCATTGAATAATCAAAACAACAAAATGGAAATCCGATGAATTGAGGGGTATCTGCACATCTAGTGACCTCAAGGTGTGAAACACAAAGTGAGCTACAGGACCCCAAGGTGGCTAAGAGGGACCTGAGAGATGACAAATAGAAGTAATGGGACTGTGCAGATCTGCCAGTTATAGCAAGTTAAAGGGACACGGTTTAAATTTGTTTTGTAATTCCTACATTTCTTTCATATTTCTGAAAGCTACATTTAAGCATTGGAGGGCATTGACTACCCTCCTTCTGAATCTCCTTTAGACCTCTACCCTTTCAGGCAGTTTCATTACTGCACTCTAATGCAACAAGAGTTGTTGTGATAGAACATTCCCACAAAAAGCTACTGATTTAACCTTCTTTTTTTTTTTTTCAACTTTTGTGTGTCACTCTCTAGTGTTAATCCACATGTCATTTTTCTTGTCCTTAAAATAAACAAAGGAAACTTTATTTTGTTCATAATTGAGTTAATTATTAGATCTTAAGGCTGCACTATCCAGTGCACATAGGATAACTACTAACCATATCTGGCTATTTATCAATTTATTAAAATAAGAATAAAAATCCAATTCCTCAGTCTTGTTGAGGTACCCAATAGCCACATGGGGCTGGTAGCTTCTATAATGGGCAGTGCAGATATAGAACATTGCCATTTTCACACAAAATTCTATTAGACAGCACTGCTTGGGGAATTTATATTATCTTGTATGTTGTGCAAAAATCACATTAGTCTTTATGCAAGTTCTTAAGAAAGTTACCTCTAGAATAGTGATAAGTAGTGATAGTTTTATTCTGGTTGATGGTCATATGAGATCACTTATCCACAATGATTTCCCAAAGAATGATAGAATTTTTTTAATCAGACCCTCCATATTTTCCCCATGTGTCTTATGTCTATCTCAAAACGTCTAGAAGAAAGATCACTCATTTTTTTAATGAGGCATATCTGACTATATTATCAGCCTGATAATAACAGGAGCATGTCCTGAGTTCTACTCTAATAGAAATGAGTTGATGACTTTGGCTTTCCCTCATTCACTTTGTAACCAGGTACTCTGTATATTGCGTTTTAGAAAGGTCTATCAAGTCTCTTTTTCACTCAACAGATTTTTGGCTTGCTCCTCTTTCTGTGTGCCAACAACCTAACACATTATCTAAAACACACAGTAGGTGTCAAGAAAGTGTTTGAATTTATGAGCTAAAAATGACTTTTGGGTTTTTCTTCAGAAGATCACCAGATTATTAAATCTGGCTTTGCTCAGGAAAGTTCATGGAGGAAAATTGCAAGTCACAATTTATGTGCTCCATTAACTAGCTGGCTTTTCTTTTTCCACTATGGGACTTAGTCCACAGGTTTCCTAATTAAGGAATTATATAAACCATGCCTGCGTTCCCTTTTTGTATATCCCCATAAGAAGCTGTC